TTTAATAGCATGTATATAAATATGCTGTAATTACAAAATATGGAGAAGCAAGCACAAATAGTTTAATTTCATGTTGAGGTTTTCATAAAAGATAAGAATCCTAAATTTCAATCCTTTGAGAAAATCTATAGTGTGGGAGCAAAATAAAGAGTGATGGCAATGTGGCAAAGACATGGTCCTGGAGATCTTGCACTGATTCTGTCACTTCTTTCCACTACAATGAGTTTCTTAAAGGGGGACTGTCAGAAAAGAAAAATCACATAGGTGACAATGGGCTCTGCAATTAATCATTGGTTACTAGGAAAACAGTGGGTCTGGATGCAGGCCCCTTTAATTCTTTTAGACCACTCCAGAGAAACTGGCACTTATATTGACTGTGATATTTAATCATCATATATTGATGCCTAACCCCCTGTCTGAATCACAGAATGATGCTAGGCTATTGTAATCCCCAAAGAACCCAGAAGATAATTATGAAAGTAGAAGACCAACTTCCCTTCTTAACAGAGATGTAAAAATTTTGGCCAAAGTAATTGTGCCTTCCCTGGACGGGTCTTGGCTAAACTGATTAACAGATAACTGATTTTGTCCGTGGCTAGAATTACGTAGATGGCATAAAGACCTTGATAAATGTGCGTTACTCAGTCTGGCAAGGTTCTAACCCTGTTCGATAGCCCCTCTCAGTGTGGAAAAGGCCTTTTGATTGAGTCAAGTGGGAGTATGTGTTTCAGACACTAATTAGGATGGGATTCCAAATATACTATTTGCCATGTAGAAGTCCCCAGCGTAGCACTATAATAAATGGTTCCTGATCTTCTTCATGCTAACTCATTAGAGGGCTGAGACACGATGCCCTCTTTCATCTCTGCTCCTTTGACCTCTCACTGCAGCCCCCAGTGGGTTGGACCCAGTCAGACCCCATTCTTCAGGCCATTACAGTAGGAGATGTGGCACATAAAACCTGGATGTGTGGAAATGTCTTTATCATTCTTTCCAGCCCAGCTTGCTCTATTTCCAGTGCTTTTTAATAATGTCAGTATGGAAATAAAGCCTAGTCATAGCACCAATCTTCCTTGCAGCAGACCTTTGGGGAAAAAAAGAAATAAAACCTGTTCTTTGTCCTTTCTTCATGATTAGGGCTTTTTTACCTTCCTCTTGTACCTGCAAGTCCTCTCTCTTTTCTTCAGAAAATGCACAATGATCTCTTGCACTAAAGTAGTCTTCCTTAACTGGCTAGAAGCATGAATGTAATCAAGATAGGGGTTTTTTTGTTTTTGTCTATCTTACTAAGGTGCTCTGTATCACAACTTACAGAGATAAACTTATGTCATCCACTTGGAAAGGCTTGAACTGGAATGAACTGCTTTTTTGGGCCCAGAGGAGATGGAGTACTTGGTCACATTAATTCATTGCTTTCTGGGAGGAGTATAGGGCCTTCACAGTAATCCTTTATCTTTTCCTGTCATTGTCTCACTGTTTCACTTAACTTCAAGTCACACCAGCCTCCTTTAGCTTGTGATGTATTCCTTTTCTCCAGAATGTTTCTGCTTTTCTTTCTCTTTGGACATGTCTACATGTGCATTTAAGTGCACCTAAATGTAATACACATTAGCTTAATGCATATTAAGCAGGTTTAGGCAGGCTTCTACACATGCAGGCATTAAAATGCATTAATGCTGTGTGTGGACTGACTTGGGAATAAAGTTAGTCCCAAGGCAGTCCACACACACAGCGTTAATGCGTTTTGACACATCTACATGTGCATTAATGTGTTTTAACTATTCACACCTAAATTTGATACCTGCATTTGCAGGTATCAAATTTAGGCACAGTTAGCCCAAAATCACAATTTTTAAAGCACATTAAGGGTGCTCATGTGTAGATGTGTGCCCTAATGTGCCTTAAATTTAAGCTAATGCGCCTTAAAGCATCTTGTGTAGATGCACCCTTTGTGTCCCCTGAGGCTTCCTCACTAGGGCTTATCTAACAACGTGCAGTACCTCATTTCTTTTTTGAATATAGCTAGTTGATTTCCATTTTCTTTCTTTACTGGTAGCATCAGTGGGTCTCTCCTGTGTTCCTCTGTATAGTTCCCCACTTCATATCCATTCAGGCCATTTAATTTCTAAAATATGACAAATACATCTATTTGTAAAGATACTCTATTTAGTAATCACTATCAAGGTAATAACATGATCAGTACAATATTTTTCTTTCCTGTACCCAACCTACTTGTTCCTAACTTGTTCCATATTTTTGCCAGGGATTTGCTTATTGTGGAGAAGGGCATAATGCCTCCTCCACTGTCACACTGCAAAAGGTCTAATTTCTTTGTGTGTTAAAGCAAGAGGTTTTGCTTTCACTCATTAAGGAATCTACAGCTTATACTGGTGAGTTCATAGGCACTTCAGTGGAATTTGACCATTTAACAGCTTGACTATGTATTCTCTCCATTTCAGGAGTTTTTCCATTTTCCAGGGCACTAAAAGCTTTTCTTATGTCTGCTTGGCCTGAATCTTCCACTCAGTAGTGTAAGTACGTCTAGGTTACCCGGCACCAGCCCTTGTGCGTCCACTCAAAAGGGATGAAAAAAACAGTAGTTCCCATGGGCACCCAGGGCACAGAACCTGCTTCCATTTCTTGGCAAGTCTGAGACTCCTCATTTTGAAGTGTATTACTGTGATTTCTTACTCTAAGCAGCACAGTACTGGCAAAGATGTTGTAATTCTTACTATGGTTGAAATGTTGATGATCAAAATTAGGTTACTTTATAGCGGGATTTAGGATTGTGCATAGTGGCTGATTGACTATATCCTTTGTGACTCTCAGTTTCTAAATTTACAATCATGTCATGCTGCTCTACGAAAAGGGAGCTCTACCAGACCCCTGCACCCTGGTTACCTTCTGCAAAGAAGTTATATTCAACCTGTATACATGCACCATTTAACCCAAGAGAATCACAAAATAACAGCTTTGTCCTGCTTGACCTCCTGATGAAGCCAGCATTTTCAACAAATCAATAAAGATTTAAGCAACAACCTTAACATTATCATTGTAATGACATCCCTGCAAAAAGAAAACTGCAGTATCTTAAATCAATCTGGAACCATACATATTACAAAGCTTTAATCGTAATCATCTGGTTATTACATGGTATCACAACAGAACAGAATGAAGGACTTTTGGATGCCTTTTTTGTACTTTATCATATATAGATTTCTTTTTCAAATTTAATTCTGAATTCCCTGGGCTTATAATGGGTTATAATTAAAGTATCTCTGTAATCTCTTTAAGTGTAAATTAGTGATATTTACTCTTAACCTCAGCTCTTTCATTTGTCTGGCAGCATTAAAAAAAAGCAAATTAGCTTATACAAATTCTTTTAATTTTCAGTTATTTTAAGTGGTGTTTTTAATATTCAGAGAAATTTGTTATTTTAATCACTTTTTTAGTCTTTGTCTAAGTGTACTCTTCATTGCTAAAACAATGTCATATAGCAGTCAGCATTTTGACTGTTATACCATGGGGTGAGTGAAGAAATGTGTATTTACTACTGGTGGAAATTTATAGCCCTGACACTAGTAAAGTTCAAAGTTTCTAGGAGATGCTAATATTTTGTCCTTATATTGTCTTCTGACAGCACTCATTCCATTCATCTGCTGAACTCCCTCTTTTCTCATAGCTGATCTTGACCTGTGCTGAAGGCTGGTGGCAGCTAGTATGGACCATTTAAAATGATATCCTCATCTTTCTATGCTCTAGTTATTAAAGCCAAGTGTGCACCTCCATTTGACAGCTATAGGAGATTGCTTGGGTCTGCACTGCACAGGGTGGGGGTTAGAAGGAAGGTGGCCTAATGGTATATCATAATAGCTTCTGCTGTTACTGTTGCAACAGTCTTTGCCTTGCTTTGCTTCTGTGCTTCTGTCATAATATTGACTTGCAAACATATAGCATTTTTGCCAGTTGCTATGGTTACTTCTGGGCTACCAGCATCTGAGCTGCAGAAATGAGTAACCAAGCAATACATTTCAAGTCCTAATGAAATGCACAGCAGTGTGTTAAACTTTTAAACCCAACATGAATATTACCAAGCAACATCCATTCGTGATTTACCATAATTGCTGCTGCAGGCTCCTTACAGTTGGTGTACGGGAGTATATGTCTCTTCATCTATCACTACATCCAATAGACATTATCAGCCGCTGGCTTCACTGTATCCCACACCTGTGATGGTTCAGAGAACTAAATTTAGTCTCTCTAAATTATTTGTATTTTCCTGTGTATCCAGAATGGCAATGTCTCTCTGTGTTTATTATCCATTTCTGTTTTCCCCCAGCCCTAGTGGCTTACCTGCTGTGTTGCACTTTTAAAGCGTGAGCTGAACTTGTTCCTTAAGATGTTTCTGCATATGTGGAAGCCTAAGCCCCATCAAACCAGCATTAACCTTCAGTTAAAACATATGAGCAGGTAAATGTGATGGCACTGCCCGCAGCAAGTCTGAATTGGTATTCTGTTTTCTGCTAAGGAGGCGTAGTTAGTCTCTACGCTGAACAGAGTATTGCAGGGTTGGCCAAGTGGCAGCGTGTGTGTGCGGTATGTGGCAGACCAGGGAGGGAGCAGGAAACACAGCAACAGGTAGGGTAGAGAGCAGAAAGCAGAGCTGCAGATTGGGCAGGAAAATAATTCAATGCATCACGTGGGTGAAGGTACAGGGCTTACTTTGTAGCATGGCTGCCAAGAAGGTTGGCCCCCGTGGTGTATTCCATCCATCAGTTCTGAACTCCTTCTCATCTTGTGATGTAGTTTTTGACATGTAAGGCCAAACTCCAGGCTTTGGGTAAAAAAAATAATAGTACTTGCTAGTGCAGTTCTAGTTTGATTGCACAGCACACAGAGGCTTCCTTTTTCATTTGGGAATTTCCATGGCCTTATACAGAAAAGCTCCTGCTGTATCGTTTCTGATGGTTGTCTGTGTTCTGCCGATGTTTTTAATCCAGTGCCAGAGCTGCCAATCTTGGAAAGAAGGAACTGGCTGATCCACCTGCACTATGTCCGCAAAGACTATGACGCATGTAAGGTAAGAGCTATCTTGAAGGAATGGCAATAAGGAGTGTTGTACCAGTTTCATTGCTTAGTTCCTAAGCCTGATCTGCATTCTCTATTAGAGTTTAAACTTCCTCTTGCAAACACACCAGGCTCAAATCTTCTGCCAGTGTTAATCGGTGTAACTCTCTGTCCTTCACTGGAACAATGATAATTTAAACTAGCTGAGGTGTGGCCTACAGGGGTTAGTATTACTAAAGCCTAAGGGGGATAATGGTAGTTTCCATGTTAGTGTCTTAGGGAGAAAGTAGTATGTGTCCTAATCACATTCTTTTGTGATTTCCCCTGGGAGCCTGAACACAGAGACCATAAGCAAAGCAAATGTGAAAAATGCTTTCCTCAACAACATTTACACCTTTATGTTTACAAATCTCTACAGTGTCAGGGGTTTCAGTGGGCTTTACTTATTGTCTGTCTTGAAAAATTCAAACGTCAGAGCAAATACAGACCTCCATTGTTTTTGGTGACAAACAGGGTCTTCCCACTAGACAACAGCATAGTCTCCTCATGATGTTTTAGAGACAGCACGAAAATAGTTCTGTAGAGCAAAACACTCCCACAAGAGAGTACGAGGAAAGGTCCTGGCTTTGTGTGATTGAAATTCATTCCTTTTGCCCATGATACATTGCACCTTTTGATTTCTCTTGGGTTCAGTGAATAGCTTGAGCCTGTTCATTGATGTAGAACTGTAATGGTAAGTGGACATAGAGTATAGCAAGTCATTTAAACAGTATGTTCTCTAGACAAGATTAACGCAATCTATTAAAGGTGACTTGGAGAGGGACAAGGGGAGGGAAATTGGAGTAGCCTGTATGTTTCTATGATGTATAATGAAGAACTGAAAAGATTGTTTTGTTGCTAGTCCTGTTGGTTCGTTTGGGTTGGTGTTTTTTTTTATATCAAGGAATATCCGGTCTTGTCTCCTCTGTCTTGGTTGGATAATTTCTTGGATGACCAATAAACATGGACCAGGAGTTCACTTGAGGGATCTGGGGTATTAAATCCTTGACAGAAACCTTTTCTCTCGAAGTTAAATGAATGTAATAAACAAATAAAGTATTGAAGACAAATCTCTTCCTCATCTATTTATTCTGCTTGCATTTCTTTAGCTGCTTCTTATTAATTTATCAGTGCTCTAGTCTGACATGGAATGCCATGAGGCAGAAAAGAAATGAACTTCAAATATGAGAAACAAATAGGACAGTAACTTTATAAAGGCCTGAAGGAAAGAGGAATCGTTTTGGTCTTTATTGGTCATCATAAAGAGCTAGAAAAGGAGGACAAACCTAGGGAACCTAGGTGATTTTCTTTTCCTTGGCAAGTTAGCATTGAAAAGGTAGCTCATAAACTGGTCTGTGAAGCTCCAGTGATCTTCAGAGCTTACAAAATAAAATATTTTTAGAATTAAATTAGGAGGGTTGAACCATACCCTGTGCATACACACACGTGTGCATGCGCACACAGTGATCTGTAGAATCAAGTATTTGAAGACCTAGGCCCAGATCCTATTTTGCCTGTAAGGTGATTAAGATTTAGATGCTGCTCACCTTAAACCTATGCATCAAGGCGTGGGAGAGTGATTCTCCTCCATCTCCTATTCTTGGGCAGGCTTAAGGGCAATCTAGCGTTCTTCCATCACATCAGGATCCATCTCAGTCCTGCTCATCAGGAGGAGAGGTGCCTTGGGGTTCTCTCTCACATAAGGTTGTATACCGGGCTTTTTTTTTTCTTTAACCAATGTCTGTCTACTGCAGAATGCATTAAACAGTCCAGGGAATGAGCAAGAGATAGTGGAACTCTTATTTTAATGGTTAAGGCGCTCATGGTTGCCACAGAGGGCATCCTGGATTGTTTCTTGCTACCAGACCTGTTTTCCCCCTTTCACATCTAATGATCATTGGGTAGGATGGATAGCTAGCTCTTGGAGCAGAGAACAGGGGGCAGATCACTGTACTTTCTCTCTGAGATGACTGCCTTCCTCATGGGCTGACAGGGTCACACTCCCTGTTTCTCACTCAACAGAGCTCCTTGCATTCATTTCCACCTAATGGTCCAGCTTCAACAGGAGGGGTGGGAGATGGTCTCCACTTTGGCTAACTAGCAAGTATGGTGGTTTGGGCATTGTCCTGAGAAAGACACATGGGTTCATATCCCTTCAGGGTGATGTAGGCCTACAACCCAAACCTCCCCCTTCCTGGGTTAATGCTATAACCATGAGACTGTTGCATAAAAGGTGGTCACCATCACACTGCTCCCGCTCTCGCCTTCATATCAGCATCCAGCAGTTGCCCTGTGCGTGACATATTTTTTCAGAGAAGGGATCTGGGGACTTGCAGGGAATGTATGCATATTCCAGGAAGAACAAGATCCCAACAGAGCAGAAGTGCAAAGAGATGCCTGGGTGGCCATACTGGAATACCTCAGAGCAGGGAGCCAGGTCTAGTTGCACAGAGGACTTCACAGGCTAACGTGGAAGAATCTAAGCATCTTAGTAGAGTTTTGGCAGTTGTACAGGCTAAATATGATCACGTTTAGTGACTTAGGTGTTTGAAATCTGCCTAAGTGCCACATAGGTGCCCTAGAGGTGGAATAGGATTTGGGATCTTAAAGAGTTAGAACAGGGGTGGGTGAAATATGGCCTGTGGGCCAGATCTGGCCCACCAGGTTATTCCTCCCAACCTGCAGGGCCCCTCCATAAGCCCCGTCTCTGCAGCTCTGATTGTTAAGCAACCACCCCACCCCAGCCTAGCCTGACCCACCCTACCCCGAGCCAGGGGATACTAGACACAAGAAGCCTCTGCTTGACAGAGGCTTTTCCTGGCCACCCTGGGGCTGTTTCTACTCTCCCTGCCTATGAGCCTGAAAAGGCAGATGAAGGCCTCACCAGGCTGGGGCCAGGGACTCCTGTTGGGGGAAAGGGAGCTGGAAGTGCAGGGAGCCGTGCACTTTGGGGCCAGGCTGGGCTGGCCTTGCACGTTGCAGGAGTGCTGTGGGTTCTGAGCACCCACTATTTTTTTTCAGTGGGTGCTTGAATCCCAGAACACCCACAGAGTTGGCACCTGTGGCTACAGGACTTAAAGAGTTAGTTAAATTTACCCTCTCTGGCACTAAGAAGCTAATACAGTGGGGGATATGAAAATATTGCACTTTCCATAATCAAAGAGTGGTATTTAGAAATAGCTGAGAGAGCTGTTTATGAACATCTACTACTAATTGAATGTGTAATGCCAATTAAGATGTATGGAATGAATATGTTTGATTGACAGATCCAGATTTAAAGGGAAGAGAGGCCCAGAGTTTCTTTTAATTTCTTCTCTTTCCTCATCTTTGGTTTTCTTTCCTCTCAGATATTCAAATGAACCTCTTCTGTACATCCAAGCTAAAGTGAGAGTGTCCTCATTTAGGCTCCTTCAATCATTTCATAAAGACTCTTTGCAATAAAGGCTCCCCTACACCCATAAGCCTATGAACGCTCATTTGTTTTATGAGCTAAGTTTTTGGCTTATTTCCTGCCTTGTTTCCAATCTTCTCTTTCTCTTTCTCTCTCTTTCTCTTAGGCAGGGGCTGCTGGTGCTGTATATATCCTTTGCAAAAGTATCAGAGTGGCACCAGTTAACTTCTAGATCGGAAAAAGACATTCCCTCCTAACCTCCTCCTAGTTCCTCACCTCACCCATTCCAGCCTTCTCCCCTCTTCAAAAACCAATTTGTGGCTGAGGGAGAAACCTCAGAGCCCTATTTCATTGATAATGAGTACAGCCAGTTCTTAGTCATAACCCCTGCCCTTCCAAAGACCACTCTGTCCAGTCTAGCTTTGGTAATTCTTCATTCTGACCCATGAGCAGAATATAGTAGATTATAGCAGCTGCAGATCATTTGGCAATTATTGTACATTTCTGCCCTCATCCCAGCCCTGCCATATGTAGCCAAATAAGGGTTTGACACTTTTTTTTATCAACTCCTTCCTCTCCTCTCTCCAACAAGTGTTATTTGTTCATTCTACTTTCACTGACTGTGTTGCAGCTGTCCCAGTTTCATTTATTTCTTCACAAAGAGCCTGGAGTAGAGGCCTTTATCGGCACAGGAGGTTTTGAAAGGTTCCTTGTGGTGTTTTTCTTGAAGAGTATCTAATTTTCTTTGGTCATGAGAATGAAGAGGGAAACACTGCAATACTGTGCTTGGATTTTACTGTTACTTTCTAGTTTGGATTAATTTTCTGCCCTCCCTCTCTACCACCCCTACCTTCTAAGCCCAGGAATTCTGCTGTGCAGTTGCACGTACTTTTCTTATCTTGAATGCCCTTCCTCCTTTGCTGCAAAAGAGTGATCAGAAATATAACTTTAAAAAATATATAGCCATATACTTTGCCTCTAGTTGCTTAGGGCTAGTCTTTTAACTGCAAAGGTACTGTGTAATGGAGCTGGAGAACTACAATCTGCAAAGAAGAACGGTGTTAATAAGAGAATTTGAGTACGGGCTGTTGCTACAACCACAGTTAAAATGCTGGAAGTTTACAATATAACACAGAACAGGAGTTTAGCTCCAATAATTCAATATGGCCTATATATGAATATTTATTTTAAAAGTCATTTTGCAGGGCTTGGATTGCATGAATGTTGCTGTTTTACCATATGTGAAAGTCACTTAATGATACTTTTTCTGGTTTCATAAGCAAAACAGCAGTAGCAAAGGCAGTACAATAAGGCAGTTTATTGAATCCAAATGAAATCTAAGACAGTAGAACCCTGTTTTACGCGTATTCGATTTACCCGAGTCTTGCGTTTACGTGATGTAATATTAGCACCTAAGCAGAAAAATATGCCCCGAGGTGCTCGTCATTTGCATATATACATAAGATATGCAGACTGAGTCAAGTGGAGTTATGTTCAGCATGGGTTCCCAAGCAGGATTCTGGATTCAGGATTCAGCCTCAGTGTCACCATTATGTTCAAGATGGGTGCTTCTAATACTGATACTACAAGTGCTTTCACCTCTACAAGGAAAAGAAAAGCTATAACTTTGGAAGAAAAATTTGAAGTTGTGAAGAGATACAAGAGAGGTGAGAACACAAAGGAAATTAGGTGTGCTACAGGGCTCAGTGAGTCAACTCTCCGTACAATTAGGGACAATGCGGGGAACTGTAAGAGTGCTACACGTTTATCTACAGCCCATGTTTCATTAACAAGGTCAGCCATCATGGAGAAAATGGAACGCATGTTGACAACAAGGACTGAGTACCAGAATCAAGAACATGTGCCGCTTTCGACCCAGGTGATTCAAGCAAAGGCATGCAGCATTTATGAAGTGTTAAAGTGTGATGATCCTGAAGCCAAGCCATTTAATGCAAGTGCCCCAGATGGTTCGATAGATTTAAAGCATGCCATGGATTTCATAATCTCAAACTGACGGGCGAAGCAGCAGCTACTGATGAAAGTGCTGCAGATAAATTTCCTTCAATCCTACAGGCTGCCATTGAGGAAGGAAGCTATGATCCGAGGCACGTTTTCAACTTGGACAAAACCAGTCTCTTCTGGAAATGTATGCTGAGTCACACGTTTATCTCAGTCGAGGAGAGAACAGCCCCAGGGTTCAAGGCCACAAAGGAACATTGCACACTGCTGCTCGGAGCAAGCGCAGCTGGCAACTTCAAGCTCAAACCATTGATGGTTTACCATGCTGAAAACCCTCAGGCACTTAAGGGTTATGCAAAGGGGCACCTGCCTATTTATTGGAGAGCCAACTGGAAAGGATGGGTTCCTGGATCATTGTTTGAAGATTATTTTTCCAGTCTGCTGCATTTGGAATTGAGGGCTTATTATGATGGGCAAAATCTGCCTTTCAAAGTTCTACTGCTTCTTGATAATGCTCCAGGACACCCCCCAAGCCTTGGCGACCTCAGTGAGAACTTTAAGGTGCTGTTCTTGCCACCAAACATGTTGCTCATCCAGCCCATGGATCAGGGTGTTAATTGAGCTTTCAAGAGCTGTTACCTACGGAGGACCTTCAAGAAGCTTATCAATGAGACAAAGTTAAAAGAAAAGGCAAACGTCAAAGAATTTTGTAAGGCATTTAACATCAAGATGGCTATAAACGTCATCGGAGATGCCTGAAATGATATTACGCAGCAGTGCCTTAATGGTGTCTGGAAAAGCATCGGGCCTGCTGTTGTGAATGATTTCCGAGGCTTTGCTGCTGACGAATTTATCAGTGATGCAAGGCACGAGATCGTTGAGATGGCTAAGAGTGTGGGCGTTGAGCAGATCGACGAGGAAAACAGGGCTGAGCTGCTCGTTTCCCATAGGGAGGAACTCTCAAACGAGGATCTTCTTGGGCTGAATAGGAAGCGCCATGAAGAGAAAGAGCCCATGGAAGAAAATGAAATGAAAGGCCCTCCCCCCGAGTTCTCATGATGAAAGGCATGGCTGATGCGTTCAAACTTTTGGATGGTTACCTAGCCTTCTTTGATGAAAACAACCTCAATTGTGAAAGAAGTGCTCAGGTTGCCAGGCTGATGAAGGAAGCCAATGCCTGCTACACAGAGCTTTTACAGGGAGAAGCGGTGCTGCTTGGTGCAGTCTTCCTTGGACAAGATCTTCAGGAAGCGGGACAGCACTATCTCGACTCAATCGACTCAGCCCTCCACTTCTGGAAGAGAGCCAGCCACTTCTGGGGGAGAGATATCACCACCGTCTTTTGATGTGTTCAACCTGGATGAAGACTCGGTTCCCCATTGATGGATGCATTGAAGATTGTTGCATGTCCATTTTGTATTCTTTTACTTATAATGTAAATGAATAAATATGTTTACAATACATTTTTGTAACATAATAAATAAAGTATTGGTTGAAAAAGGTTGTATTTGGTGCCTTTGGTGTCATAAATGTGAGTTCCAAGGAACGCAACCCCTCACTTTTCTATTATTTCCTACGGGAAAATTCACCTCAAGTTGCACAAATTCATGATAAGCGAGGTTTCTCAGGAATGCAATATATCTGTAAGTCAGGGTTCTACTGTAATTAAGATAATGGGCCTTGTGTAAGAAGCATTGGTGAAGCATAGTGTAGTTGAACGTAGTACATGGAAAACATGCTTTCCAACTGGGTTAAGGGAGTTATTTGGTCCATCTGAAATAAACATCACTTTAAATTTACAGTTTACTGAACTGTTAATATATGAAGAGATGTTATCGTTTACCTAAGAATATAAGTGCCATACTGGGTCACACCAGTGGTCTACTGAGCCCAGTATTTTGTCTCTGATACTGGCAGAAATGGATGCTATAGATTCAGTACCCTTCCCAGCATCCATCATTTATTGGGTTTGAGATGCCAGAGAAAACATCTCCAACCATTCTGTTCAATAGCCGTTTATAGACCTAGCATTCATGACTTTATCCAGTCCTCTTTTGGCTGGCTATGTTTACACGAAAGCTACAGTATTTTATTATTAGATCCCTTATGTCAGAGTATAACGGTCCACTGTCCCAGAGGCTCTTTGGTGACAGGACTGCCTTTTGGCATAATGTTATCCCTTCACTATTTCAGATGATTATCAAAGAACAACTCCAGGAGAGTCATGGAATGTGTGAATATGCAGTCTACGTTCAAGGTATGCCAGATGAAGACTATGAAAAGAATCTGTTTGTCACCCTGAAATATGCTGCTGTCTTAAAATGCATTTGCTAGTGAAAAAAAAATTCACAAATACAATTCCATATGTGATCTCTAGCAGAGCTCATAAAACCGTGCTCGAGTACATAGGCTTGCGATAACTTCTGACATTTTTCTACTTGCTGGGTTTAATTTTGAAACTCAGGATTATCAGTTTAGTGAACAGATTAAGGGTCTTTTTTTACCTCCTTGAGTATGAGGATTTTTTGGAGACGTGATATCTTCATATCGTCTTGAAAGTAATGATGCATACCCCTTTTTATAATTGGCCCTGTGCATTTCACTGCATCTTCTGAAATGTGTTAAGAATGTTTGCCTCTGTTAGTTGTGTGCTTCTAGGTAACCAATTAGGTCACAGTTTCTTTTAAGGACACCTTAATGTTAAAGGGTGTATGGCATCTGTCTGCACACAGTGGCTGCTGTGTTTGTTTGTACAATCCATCCATTACCAGTGCCTATTCATTGCTGTGGAATGGCGTGAAAATGAAAGTCATTATATAAAACTGATACCCCCAAAATGCAGTTAACATGACATTTGTGCTGCAAGCTCACTGTTCACTCTGCCGTTTTGTTTAGAGACTGTCTGTATTGCTGCTTGGGGCGGCTCACAGGTCTGTGCTTTAGCCCAAGCTCCACTGACTTCCCACATTACAAACCCCCAGAAATGGTCCAGCTTGTCTCAGGAGCTGTCCTGAGCGTCAGGCCCCAAAGCTGATCTTCCTTCTAGCATGGTTTCGCCTGCCTTGTTCTGAGCAGACTATATCACACTCTGCCACTGCCCTACACTACTCTCTCTACTGACTGTAATTAAAGCAAAGCACAGAAGGACAGGCAGTTCCTAGAAAGGCTCTATTTGAATTCATTCCCTTCTAAGAGTCTGTCCGCCCAGTACTTTTTCTCCATCTGTTTCCCACATCCCATTGCAGCAAGATAATATGACAGGGAGGAGCTTGAGGGGGGTGTCTGTGATTCACTTTAGAGAGAGGTGTAGACATACCCTTGTCAGTCCTGTAATGTTGGAGCATAAGGTTCTCTGAGCAGGGACTGTCTAGTACTCTATATTTGTAATGTACTTTATGCAAGAGGGCCCCATTCTTGGTTGATCTTGGAGTGCTGCCCTAATAAATTACAGCTATTATAATTAATACCGTTAACATGCAGCTCCTGAGCATGTTGTAGTCTGTGTTATGCAAAAGAGGAAGGGTGCAAGATTATTTTTTCCTGCAGAACTAGATCCTAAAATCTGAGAGTCCATGTGATAGGTTGCAGAATGCAGGGATGGGGGAGAGCTGAATTTCATCATCCAGCATCAGTGTTTGTAGTTAAACTGTAGTACACAGCAGAGGGAAAAGGAATCAAGGCTTTCTGTTACTGAAGAAAGGTTCAGGCTACTACTTGGGGCTTGCTTTCTTCTAAAGTAGCCTTCAAACAACCAAAAAATCCTGTATGCACCTCAGTTTAGTCCAAGTATGAATTTCTGGCTACACTGCTGCAATAGAGGGAAAAACAGACTTCATATTATTTCAATCTATTCATGCTTGCTTTACAGTGCAGGCCAGGGATGCAGCTTTCTCCTTCATGGAGTACTAAACTAACATATGTTGCTTTGCAGCTTTGATATTTCGCCTGGAAGGGAAAATCCAGGAATCTCTAGAACTCTTCCAGACGTGTTCCATTCTGAATCCTCAAAGTGCTGACAACCTCAAGCAGGTGGCACGATCACTGTGAGTGTCATTTACTTACTAAACTGGAAGTGCCATCCAGGACATTGCAGGCTTTGTGTATCTTCCAGATGCAAAGTTGATACCATTTAAATCCCAAGTATGCTTCCTTCCTATTACCACTTGAGTTGGTTTTCCTGGGCAAGCACTTCTCATTAAATCAGTATCTCTGGCACAGTGCATCTGTCTAGTCATCGCCATTGATGCACTTGTATCATTTTTTCGTCTTGATATTTTGAATGCTAAAGACAGAATGTTAAGTCCAGAGCTGTGAAGTCTAGCTTGCACTGTGCAGAGCTTTGTCTGGGGGTAGGTGGCAGGTTCAACTTTGGTTACTTGTCTCTCTCCCTGGGTCAAACACAGCACTGAAGAAGCAGTATATCTGTATTCTTGGAATGGAGTGCCTTGTGTCTCTCAATGCAACCCTTCTGAGTAGCTAGGGAACAGTGCTAATACACTGCCTATGTCTATACCACCTTCCTAGTGCTGCCAGAGATGTCCACTTTTGAGTGCACCCTACCCACTTGCTGCCACCTGCATGTGCCACACCTGGAAATGTGACCAGGAAGCTATTTTCACAACACCCCCATGTCCACAGCTAAGCATGCTGGACACAGAAAGCTCGAGATTTCTTGGTTTGGTCCATGCAGTTGCAAGTAAGTGGATGGGGTTTGCTTGAGAGTAGTGCCCCAGTCACACCAGAGATACAGTATGGACATTTCCTTAGATTTTAAATTTCTTGGGACAAATCTGTCATGTTAGGCTATAAAGTAGCTTACAGACATGTGAAGCTGAATAAATGTAACTTTTCCTTGGCATGTATGTTGGAGGGAATATGTTCAGGGCAAAGCAAACTAAAAGTTGATTTATTTTCATAGGTTTCTTTTGGGGAAACACAAAGCAGCCATTGAAGTGTACAATGAAGCAGCTAAACTGAATGAAAAGGACTGGGTAAGTCTAGGGCCTTTTTCACATAGTTTATAGGAGTCTTGGGCACAAACCTAGACTCAAACAATGTGTGTGCGCTCTGCAGGGTATCAGACTTTAAATTAAACCCAGCTTAGCCTTATAGTACATAATGAGCTGAATTGCTTCAAGGATAAACAAGTGAATTGACTGCCCAGGCTAGAAACCCTCCAGTACCACTGATCCCTTTGGTATCCAACTAGGGCAAAACAGCATCTAAAAAAGGTTACCCCCAAAACAAGCGACAGGGATTGCACTGAGTATTTTCCATCTTGGCAAAAATCAGGCCTTCACAAAGAAGAAAGGAGAGATTCAAATGACTACGATAAAGGGCAATGACTGTAAAAGATGGAGAGAGATGAAGAAAGAGTGAGGATATGTTGTACAGTGTCTTGTGAACAGCATTCTGTATGCAAATGCATACCTACAGAAGAAGTGGTGTGTTGCTGGCATAGGCTTCCTGTAAATGGTTTCATGAAGCAAGCTATGGCTAATCTGCCAGTTTAAAGTGTAGTGGGCCTGATTCCCTGCTCCCATCAACTTCAGCTAGGATTTTGGGAACTCATTACTTCTCAAAATCAGGCTCAGTACGTGGGTATATTTGGCACCACTCTCTTCTTCATCCCACTCCATGCTAAACAAAGAAGCAACCTTCTAGCAGATGGATCTCCTTTTCATCCAAGTTCCCCTTAATCAAGCAAACTTTCTGAGGCATGTGTTAGGCATAGTGTTAACCCTTTATTTACTGCATGTTTGGCAGGCTTGAAACAGGTCTTTTGTCCTTGTTTTTCTTGTGCTTTCATCTCTTTTGGGCTGTGCTGTTTACTTTAGGATACAGTTTAAATTCAGATTCTTAAAATGACTGAAGTGTATTGATTTCTTTGAACTACAAAGCAAAAAAAGGACTTTACCTGATACAGGGAGGTTCCATTCCAACCAAAGACAACTGCTGCTCATCATCTTTCTGCTTGTCCAGCACACAGTTCAACCTTGTGCAACTTTTTCCTTTTTATTCTCATTAGGAGATCAGCCACAATCTGGGTGTGTGCTACATGTACCTGAAGCATTTCAACAAGGTAATTAAGGTGCTTGCCCAAACAGAGACTGGGGCATTGGCTGAGAGTAACTGTTCACAAGCTAGTTTGAACTCTTGTCTAACAACCCAGTGTACTTTACAAATCATTCATCAGTAGAAAATCACTCATTAAAAGATATATTGCCAGCAAAGGGGGTATAGAGTGAGGCTTGGAGTTGCCCAGTGGCTCATGATAGAAGTCTCCAAGACCCTACATAGACTAGAGTTCATAGCCCTTTTTTAATTCAAGAAGGCCAGTTAACTTGGTTTAACAAACAGGACTGTAAATGTAAATGCAGCAATCCCTGTCTCAGGCATCAGTGATTTAGTCTGAAGCATAGAATAAACATACATTTATTGGCACACAAGTTTGCTGGGTGTCTCTGTTTGCATTTACAATATTGTGAATTAATGTGAACAAGTTGGCACTCAGTGACTCAACACAAGTCAAAAGGCCTGCTTTTAGAAGCTTTCTCACCCTTATTAGAGGACCATGCAGGGTCTGACTAGGCAGCTAACAAACCACACTCTAAACCCAAGAAGGTGCTTTTGTATTCCAGGCCTTTATAGAAGGAAATGCAGATACATTTCTAGTTTTAATGAGGCAATTATAACCCTTAGACGGTAGCTATTGCTTTGTTGTCTTCCTGAAGCAAAGAAGATATGAATGGTCCAAGTGCCAAATCCTGGCCACCGCATTTAGCCTATGTCTTGGGGGAATTTCTCAAGTGCTGAGTGGGTTGGTTCACCACACAGGGCAGGAGGCAGGATTTGGAAATCTCATGTAGGAGGCAGCAAGGAGCCATAAGTCCTCTCCATTACTGAGCAGACAAGATTGAGTGCAGAGTCACTATATGAAAGTTCACTGCTCCCTCTCCTCACACCATGCAAGGGGCTCACTGGGTGCAGAAACCACCCCCATGCTGTGTCTGGAGCAGCTCAGCTACTGTGAGGGGCAGGGATTGTGGATATGTAGGCAGAGCTTTTGATGCTTAGCAAGTAATAAAGAACACCTTAGAAATATGAAATTGGATTTGCTAACCTAACACCTGAGCATCCCATTTCCTGCTATTCGTTCAGGGCATAGACATACAATCAACTTATCTCTGGGAACAAGGGGTGGGACAGTTATAGCTATTCTGTAGTAACTACCTATATATTGCTTTTACCCTAAGGTAAGTGAAAACGAAATTGCTGTAAAATATACCTCTTTCACTAAGGACTTAAGGTACTGTGCTTTAGCTGTCATTTATCTTGGGGTAAAGTCAGGCACAGGGGCAGTTAACATTGATCACTTGACGTACAGTAAAGCTCCAACCCCTTTCACCCCACAGTAAATTGCTCATATGTCTAGATTACCCTTAGGTTTTACTGCCTGTTTGCTCATGATGAGAGCTGAGCTGCTTCTGTTGATTCTATGAGAAATACTTTTTAGCAGGAAAACAACAGCTTTCTAAAGGACTGATTGGCTCCCAGTTTGATACTCCAGCTCTCTACTACTAAACATGTAAGAATTTCCTTACAAATAAGTCCCCTGGGGAGAGAAAGTACTGTCTGTCCTTAATATGAGACCTCTAGTCCTCTTAAAACTCACTGTTTTATTAATTAATCTGAGCACCACACCAACAAAACTTCTGGCCTTTAGAGCTGAGAGGTCTCTGCAGGTGTTAAGGTCAGTATCTCTGCTCATTTGCATTTAGGACAGAGGCTCTTAGTCTGCTTCTGTGAAGCTTTTGCATCTGCCCATTTCCCTGTTAGGGGTGTTATGATAAAGTAAGAATAAAATGCTTAGGAGAGAGGTTCATCTCCATTCTTGATAAAGATCCTGTATTCATACCAGGGCTGAGGGAAAATATGTACCTGAAACAGCCTTTGTAAAGAGGATCTTAAATTTGAGACCAACTAATGTCTTAAGTGTCCCATTAGTCTGAGAGAGGTATTGGCAGCCTCTGGGGAGTGCATGCTTCTTGTCCGCCATCACATAGACGCATAAAATATAATGAAACCCAGGGAGACCACTTGTTTTTTAACATTCACTGGTAATGAATATCCAGCACTGCATAATTCGTTTTCCATTTTCTTGCCTTGTCAGCATCTCTTACTTTAATGTGTCATACGCTAGAAAACTGCAAATGTTCATTGCCTTCCTGCTGGCTCAGCATAGAGAAGGAAGAGGAAGATGTAAGAGTAACCCCAGTTTGGAAGTGTTTCCCTTTGGAGGGGATTTATGTGTCCATGACTGGAGCTGATTCATTCTCTCAACATTTACATGGAAATCCTGGCTCCTCCGTGGGCTGAGCATTTTGGAGAGAAATGAGCTGGAAATGCATACATTAAACTAACTAACTTAACGGCCCCCAAGTGATCTCATTCTGTACAGGAACAGACTAGCCTCTATTTCTCTTCCTTGATGGATCAGTTTGTTTTGCTTTAGTTTAAAGTTTTCTGCTTTGCATTCCTCCCTCCCTAAAAAATACATGACGCCTGGTGCAGAACATATTTCCAGAATTGCCCCATAAGCTAAGCCTTTGTAATAAGATCAAGGCAGGTCATGCAATGTGATCCCCTTTCCCTGAGGTGCTAGCCACATGTGCATTCCTGCTCACAGATGAGGCCTCTTTGGCCATTGCTTCATTCTGAATTCTGCAACCCCACTAATTTTCACTCTCTGTGTTGTACGTGGTGTTTGTATGTAGGCACGAGACCAGCTGAACAAAGCCCTGCAGCTGAACAGACATGATCTGACATACATAATGCTGGGAAAAATTCACCTTCTGGAAGGGGAGACTGACAAAGCCATAGAAGTCTATAAGACAGCAGTGGAGTAAGACTTTTACTCTTCTTTTCCCCTCCTTTCCCCCTTTTTTTCTATGCTGGGAGAAATTTGATTGGTGTCTTGTATATGAATTCAGAACAGAAATGCATGATTAAAAAAACAAGACTTCAGCCAATGCCTCTGTGGGCACTTCTGAGCTAGGCACCATTGCTCTAAGTTACAATACTCCTGTTCCAACCAACAGCATGTCAGGGCAGAGATAACTATTTGAAACCTCTGGCAAAAGAAAGATTAAGAACAAATGAATGGAGATGCCTAGGAGCAAATGTGTTTACACTGCACTTCCCAACTCCTAAGATTCATGTGCAAAAGCTTAAGAACTAGCAATGATTGAGAGCTGCTTGGGACTGTTACAACTCCATTGCTGGCAATACCAGTGCCATCAAATGTAATTTTGGGCCTGTGTTGGCAGGGCTGTGCGAAATTTTGATGGGTGTTTTGTTTTGAAGATGTTTCGACATATTTTGAGCTCGAAAAAGCAAAATCAAAATGAAACAAAAGACTTTGAAACAGCTTTAAAATGAAAGGAGGGCACTCAAAACATTTTGAAAGTTTCAAAACATTTTGAGTTTCGAAGGAAGCCGGGCTTGTTGAACCTAAACAGAAACTAAGGCAAGGGAGGTGGAAGAGCGGGGAAGGACTGCTCTCTGATATTGACATCTAGCTCGTTGTTCGATTCCCCAGCTCTCTGATCATTTCCCCAGCTGAAACTGTAGTGGCAGCTTGATGAAACCCAGCATGCAGATCCAGGGGCCCACGCCTCCCCGGGAAGAGCTGGGGAATCAAACTGGGAGCTGTGGAATCAAACCAGAAGCTGGGGGAATGCTCAGGTCCCTAAAAATTTCCCCAGTTCCCGGTTGCATCCCCCAGGTCTCTGATTGCTTTCCCCAGCTCTTCCCGGGGGGCGCGGGCCCTTGGATCATGTGGGATGACAGCAGGCTGCCACTGCTGGCTGGGACTGGTGCTGGGTGCAGCCTGTGCCAAGTGCCGGGAAGCTTGAGTGTTGCTGCTGGCCCCAGCCGGCAGTGGCAGCCTGCTGTCACCCCACATGCCAATCTGGGGGCCCGCACCCCCTGACAGGGCTGTGGGGCTGTGCCACTCCTCCCAGGGGGTGTGGGCCCCCCGATCTGCATGTGGGATGACAGCAGGCTGCCGCTGCCAGTTGGGGCCAGTGCCGGCATTGGGTTCTTCCTGGAGCTCGGTGCAGGCTGTGCCAGGCAGACTTGGGTGCTGACGCTGACCCCAACTGGCAGCGGCAGCCTGCTGTCATGCCACGTGCAGATCTGGGGGTCTGCACCCCTGGGAAGAGTCCAGCACAGCCCTACAGCCCTCCCAGGGGAAGTGGGCCCGCAGATCTGCGTGCAGGATGACAGCAGGCTGCCACTGCTGGCAAGTAATATGAGTTCTACTTTGAACAGTTTGAGATGAAGTTTCCCAGAAACCCTTGTACCTCTCTCCTTGAAATTTGGCAGGCTTCATGCCCTCAGAAGAGGCTGCTATCCCTGTAATTTTCATCCGAATCAGGCAAGAAATGACAACGTTATGGGCATTTTCATGATTCCCCTTTATGGCCTATGGGCAAAATGTCAAAATGTTTCAAAACAACGAAACAGTTTTGACAAAACAAAATGAAACAGCACTTCAAATTGAAATGATGAAATGAAACACTGTCCCTTCGAAACGGCGAAATGGAAGTTGGAATGATATGGTGCTGTTTCGCACAGCCCTACCTGTTAGGGATTTATATACTATTTCGTGAATGAACATGAGGGCTAAATAGGCTGGTAGAGACAGAGAGGTGCTATGTGAGTTTCTCCCACCTAATCAGTGTCTCTGAATCCTGATCTGCATTGTGTCAAGCCATTCCTGGGCACAGATTGATAGAGAAGTTAAATGAGCCAGTGGACAAATGCTTAAGATAGACAACTGGCAATTATTTCTACTAATTAACAACTGTGCCCACAGCTGGTCTCTGGTAAAGCATACTGTTATTTTTGTTACCCCTTACCCTCTCATTCACCTGTTATTGTCTTGCCTTTTGTAGATGGGAAGCTTTTGGAATATGGACAGTCATTATATTTTTGTACAGCACCTGGCACACCAGGCTTCACCCTGGTTGAAACCGTGTAGGTGTCAGTGCAATATAAGTGTCACATTTCTTGCAACCCTAGCTAGGATTTGAAAACTGATTCTCATATATGAATATCTGCCTTGTTAATGCTTGGTGCTTCTGACCTGCCTTTTCTTTGTTGCTGTGATTTTTCATCAAATTGTGATTTGCCTGAAATACCCTGGGGATGGGGAGGCTTTCAAGGATTTAAAAACCTGGTGTCCATAGATGCAGTTAGATATGAGGGCTTGGGCATCACAAATATATCATTAAAAACATGGCACACTCATTTTAAGTCTTTATTTAGAGCATGTCTTAGTTCTGTTGAGCAGAATAGTGTGCATTGCCCATTAACTACAAAGGTATCTCCTGCATTATATCTAAGGGGCAATGGCCTAGTTGTGAAAGCAGAAGGGGAGTCCCAAGCACTTTCTCCAGTTCTTACACTGACCTATTGTGAGATCTGAAGTCATCTAGTCTTTCACACCTGGGTGTACTCATAGTGAATACTACCTACTTCACAGGGATTCATGAGGATTCATTCACTCTTGTAAAGAATTTTGAAATGTGCATGCGTAACATGTTATTTGAAGGCAACATGGTGGTGGTGATGTTGTTTTGTTCAAGTCAGAATAATAGTTTCACAGATGGTGGTTTATTATTTTTAGTGGCATTTCAGGTGGTCTGTGCTTTACTTTCTATTAGTGCTATCAAGAGACTATAAAACCACGGAATTTGTATTTCAGGTTTTCTCCAGAAAACACGGAGCTCCTTACAACATTGGGGTTGCTGTATTTGCAGGTACTAGTATCTATTAATTACTATGTAGATTTAATTGTATTTAAATGTCCTGATAGTATGTGGAGTTAATCTGTGCATCTCCTTTTAAGTGTGATACGTTTTTCTACAGGCTGCATCAGGCAGGACGGAACTTGCTCTTTTGTGTCTTCTTTATACACTTGGCCATTTAAAATAAAGTGCCTTGATTTCCTGGATCTGAGCCACAGCAGGAATTCTGTTTGGCAGCTGCTCTAATTGTGATACAAATCATCTCAAGTGCAATAAAACATGACTTGTCACTCCCTGGTTTCTCAAGCAGGAGCTTAGCAAGCTACTCACCTAGAAAAAGAGCCATGAAATTGTGAGCTAATGCACCTTAGAAAAAAACAGAATCAATTTAAATATCAAAAGCACATTTATTACTGTGGACTTGGGGTTATACATGAAAAATCATCTTTCCCTGAAAGTGCTATCTCCTTGCAGTATTTGGTACAACCACAGTCTAGAGAACTACAGGACTTTCAGAGCAAAGGTGCACTAGGCTCAGGTCAAAGTGCACCAGCAAAGCCATGGAAGAAGCAGAAGAGGGGAATTAAGGGATAGTGCCTTGACAAGGTTGTGTGACCAGAAACTTGCACACTCACATCCAGATTCACCAGGGGAAGTTAGGCAGCTATTACTTCTTTATGTACCTAAGTTGAACATTTAGGGTGCATCCCCAAGAGCTGGAACATTTGTTTCCCTGGGGACAAACAGCAGCAGCCTGTGCACATGCACTCTGGCACGTGGCCTGTTGCCCCAGGTGGGGTAGGTAGGCGAGACTGGGGCCAGCACCAGGGATGGCCCCAGCAGCCTTACCTGGGGTCCTGGGGACCTCTGGGGGCTGCAGGGCCCCAGCAGCCTTACCTGGGGCCCTGGGGACCTCTGGGGGCTGCAGCCATGCCAATTCAGGAGCAGGGAGCCTGGCCAGCCAGGCTCCAGTTTCAGGCTGCTCATGCTGCTGCCACATGCCCCGCCCATCTTTTTTTTAGTCATGGACTGAAAAATTAACGGCGCAGGGACTGCCTGCATGCATGGCCCATGTGGTGTACGGCACAGCAGATGGGTCTGCAATGCTGCATACCTCATGTGCTCACTGATCTGGACATGCCCTTAGAGCCTTAACTCCTGTTTAACCCTGAAAGTATATATGTTCCCTAGGCATCTCCATTTCTGCAGGTAGACATGCAAAGAACCCCTCAGGCCCTGGCCATGGGAACAGTTTGGGACCCATCTCTCAGACTGGAGCCCAGCTGCATTCACAAACTGTGAGACAGACATACCTGTACTAGTATTGCCTGTAGGATGCAGCTCCATAAACATGTTCAAGTACCTCTAACTCCACACAGTACAGAGCCAGGAGGAAGTGCCACCCTTTTACCTCACAAGCTAGTGATTAATTAGGGCAGTGGTGTCAAACTCATTTGGGCCCGCAGGCCAGGTAAGCAGTGCAGGGCTCCCTGCAAGCAGGAACCAGAGTCAGCTGGGTCCAGACAATGAGCGGCAGCTGCGTTACTTGCTGCAGCTCTAGGAACTACAACAACTACCACCACCACCACCTGCTCCACCCACATATTTTCAGCCCTGCAGGCCAAATGACAGCTCTTAGACCATAACTTTGACATCCCTGGATTAGGGCACTCACCTGAGATGTGAATGACTCAGGTTTGGATCCCTCCTTTATTCAAGAAAGCCCTCTAACCCTTATAGCCTTTAAGCTGTTCTGGGTTGGAAAATTCCTGATCTCTTCTGCTGAAGCTGTTCCATTTTCTATACTTAAACATACATTGGAGGAGAAACCAAAACCCAAGTCTTCCTCATCCCAGATGAGTCCTAGCCACTGAGCTACAGACTTACATTCTCCCTCTCCCTGATGCTTAATGAATGATTATTTCATGCAGAGTGGAACAGCTTCAGTAGAAGAGACTGATAGACCCACTGTAGAATACCCTGTAGCCTAGTGGTTATGGCACTCTCGTGGGATATGGGAAATGTGGGTTTGAATCTCCTCAGGTAAAGGAGGGATTTGAACTGTATTTCCCATATCCCAGCCATTAGGAGATTAAGTGAAAAGATGGGCACCAGCATCATTGCCACCACCTTCTCTTTCTTCTAGCAAGAAAGAAAGGATGGACATGCTTGGGTAAAAGGAGCTTTTGGCTGTAAATCCCAAAAGGAGACAACTTTTCTCCAGTCCATAGAGAAGTGCCTGGGGCTGTGAGGGTGGGGGCTGGATCCAGCCACTCTGCTGTCCTCCGTGTTTTCTACTAGCTGAATTAGGCAGCTTCCTACTCATCAGTGACTTGGGTAAAAACCAGTTCTGGAGCACTGATTTTTTTTTTCCCCCCACACACTGTATAGGGAGCCTGAATGTCTGACAGAGTTGTAAATACTACTAGGTGGCAGGGCATCTAGGGGCAAGGCTTGACAATGTGAGCCTGTGTCCCCTGGTTAATTGAGCCCCAGCTTTCTACACTTTGACTTCCTTTGTTAACAACTTATTACATCTTTGGACTCCAAAACTAACTTTAAAAACCTTTAAAGACTTTCTCCAGATCTCTTACCAGTCTTAATTGTCTCTGTGGTCTACAAGAGATATGAGACCGATTCTATCAGTAGGTGTCAGTGCATCGGGGAGAGGGAATGGAGTTTGAATAGTATATTTATTCAGATCCAAGATGAGGTCCTGCCCTCCCTGCATTCAACATGGTGTGTATGTGTGTGTGGGGGGGGGGGGGGGGGGGGGGGGGGGGGGGGGGGGGGGGGGGGGGGGGGGGGGGGGGGGGGGGGGGGGGGGGGGGGGGGGGGGGGGGGGGGGAGTCCCTTGTTTTAGATTTGAGAATGGAGGGGGAAGGTTGAAGTTGGGTCCATAGCTGCTGTCCACACCCTGCCTCTGCTTCTCACCACTACCACCCCACCACCTCTGCTTCTTCCTGCCCCCACCCTCCTGCACCCCACCACTACTGCTTACCTTTGTGTCATGGCTCCAGCACCAGCTAGGACTCTACTCCGGCCCAGGGCACAGAGCATGGAGCACATGCTGCCTCTGGCCCCCACCTGGCCATGCCGGAGTAGTGGGGGGCAGGCAGCAGGGGAAGCAAGTGGCAGGGAGCACAGTGTGGGGTGCTCAAGCATGGGGAGGCAGTATGGGGAGGTAGGTATTGGGGTACAAGCATCACTGGGGGTGGCTGGCAGCAGGGCAAGCAAGTGGTAGAAGGGACAAACAGCAAGGGGCGGAGATCAGGCTTTACTGCCTACCATGCTGCTGCTGCTGCTGCTGCTGCTGCGGGGAATGAATTTAAGATAACCGTCCAAAAATTAAATTCTGTACAAGGAAAATTATAACAAATGTGTACATTTTCCATGTCTAGAATCCAATTATTGTGGGATGGGGGGAATCTTCAATTCAGAGTCATCTCAGATTTGGGTAACCATTATAAATTCTTTGACAAAAAACCCCACACTTTGGGCCACATTTTATCTTGTTTACGCAAATGGAATCTCTGGATTAGCTCCATTGAAGCCAGTAGGTAATACATGTGACCATTTCGTGCAGGCCTTGCGTGCTGTTGGGGGGTGGGGGGCTGAATAGCAATCCAGAATGACTTTCTGTACAGCCTGAACCATTGCATAAATGGAGGCGTCTGCCTTTTGGTCTGATTGGTCAGTGTTCGGTTTCATGGCGTTCCCTGTGTTGCTAGGTGAGTAGCAGGGATCCAACTGGTTAGTGATTATGAAGTAAAAACACTGCCTAGAAGGAAAAGAATAAAGGTAACTTTTCTGAATTCCTTGCTTCCGATGATGGTGGAACCAGAATCTCTGTTATCTGGAACTAGTATATTATTTATTAACCCATCTGTGCCTGCATTTGAGTCTTTATTTATTTATATATCTATTTATTTATTTTTGCAGCTTGGGGCTTATCAGAAAGCATTTGAACATCTTGGAAATGCACTTACATATGATCCCAGCAACTATAAGGTACCAATAGGAGTAGAAAAGCGCCTGTTAGGTTACTTTAAGCTAATTCCTATGGAAAAGGTTTCTTGGATATGCTCAGCTCCTGATCATGGGGAGGTGGGAAGGGACCATGCCCCAAAAACTTGTTCCAAAATGCATAGATTCATAGATGTTTGGGTCGGAAGAGACCTTAGCAGATCATTGAGTCCGACCCCCTGCCCTGGGCAGGAAGGAGCGCCAGGGTCAGATGACTCCAGCTAGATGTATGTCTAGCCTCCTCTTAAAGACCCCCAAGATAGGGGAGAGCACCACCTCCCTTGGAAGCCCATTCCAGATTTTGGCAACCCCCACTGTAAAGAAGTTATCCTGATGTCTAACCTAAATCTGCTCTCTGTCAGTTTGTGGCCATTGCTCCTAGTTACCCCAAAGGGTCCCCTGGTGAACAGGGCATCTTCTTTTCTCTGCTGTCTCCCCCTGATAAATTTGTAGGCAGCCACAGGATCACCTCTCAGCCTTCTCTTGCAGAGGCTGAAGAGATCCAGGGCCCTCTATCTCTCCTCGTAGGGCTTTGCCTGCAAGCCCCTAACCATACGAGTTGCCCTTCTCGTATCACAAGAGTTGTGTGTCCTGCTTCTGTGCATTTGTTATACCTCTGCTAAGTTCAGAAGCAAAGCACAAGATGCAAGCAATGTTCTACCATGTTATCCTATCCATACCTTCCTTTGTCTGCACAGCCCAGATGCAAACTTCAGTCTCCGTCCTAGACCCAGTGTGTGTGTGTCAGGGGGGTGGGTGTTGGACTTGGTTAACCAAACATGTGATCTTGATTTTGTTCCTGACTCTGAAGCTGATTCCCTGTTAAGACTCCAACAGGACTCTTCAGTTCTCGGTGACTATTACCTCTTCTGAAAAATGGGGATAATCATAGAATCACAGAGAGAAGTTTGACTGGAATGGACCTCTAGTCTAAAGGTCATTTAATTCAGCCCCTCTGCCTGAGGCAGAATCATCCCTATCCAAATCACTCTATATAAATCCGTTATCCAACCTTTTAGGAAAACCACATAGTCAACCCAGACATAGCACAAGACATAACACCTAATCCACCACAGATAAAACAGGGGGACCACAGTGGCCAAACTCCTGCTTGCAAAGGTTCTTAAAATATGCTTGAGAGACTTCATGCTTCCCTCTTCCTCTCCACCTCCCTCTGCTACAGAGGAAGGCAAAAACTCCCACAGTCCCTATCAGTCTGACCATGGGATACAGTTCCTTCCTGACCCCAGATATGGCAATTAATCTGACTCTGAGCAGAGGGCAGGGAACTATGGGTGGCAAAGCAAAATATAAGAATAAACCAAGTACTGTGATGATGAAAACTTCATTATTCTTCCAGCCTCTGTGTCAGACTGCTGTGAGCTCTTATGAATAATTTGACAAGCATAGTTCAGTTTTAAATTAATTTTGGTGAAATAGCTTTGTTTTTTTGTTCAATCATGTCTATTCAGTGATTTGCAATGTCAGCTGCAGTCAGTAGTGTGAGCTAGCCAGATTTTGCTGGATATGTCTTGGTGCTAAGGAAGGTGTTAATTTCTTCCTACATTGCCTTGGGAATGTTTCTGTTTTAATTTGTCAGGGTAGGGAAGGGAGAAACTACAAGTACACAGACATTTTCAGAAACCAGACTTCTGGAAGCTGCAGCTGTGTTCTGTGCAGTGGACACTATTGGCTAGTCAAAGTCCAGCATTAATGAGCCATGTTGGCCAGAACCAAATGCCCAATCCTCTCCCTTCATGCTCTTGAATTTCCCAGTTGTTCTGTATTATGTGTCTCGCCCTGAAAGCCCTGATCAGAGGACTGCCAAAAGAAAGATGCCCTTTACAGCATTGGACTCAAAATGCTTTTAGTTCAGTGACTTTGTAGCATTTCCTTCCCACTGTGCATGGTGGAAGTGAGTGCCCTCAGCCAAACACTATCATATTTTTTTACAGGCTATCTTGGCAGCAGGCAGTATGATGCAGACCCATGGAGACTTTGACGTAGCCCTTACCAAGTACAGAGTTGTAGCCTGTGCTGTGCCTGAAAGCCCCCCGCTATGGAACAACATTGGAATGTGCTTCTTTGGCAAGAAGAAATATGTGGCAGTAAGTTGCCTTCCTTTCTGTCTGTGGTTTAACTTTATTTGTGGAGGATGAAGAATCCTTTTCATGTGGCAGAAGCTAGAGAATTACCTGGCCTGTTTAAGCCATGTCATTGAACAGTGCCATTCTCTTTTGCAGGCAATCAGTTGCCTGAAGCGTGCTAACTACTTGGCTCCCTTTGATTGGAAGATTCTGTACAACTTGGGGTTGGTCCACCTGACAATGCAGCAGTATGCATCTGCTTTCCACTTCCTAAGTGCTGCCATCAACTTCCAGCCCAAGATGGGGGAGCTCTACATGTTGTTGGCAGGTAAACTTTTTCCGTCTATGTTCCTCATGGACATGCACAGGTCAAGCATATCTTCCTTGGGACATGCAAAGTTTTAATGGGAGACAGCCCAGAGTTGAAGTGTCAGCTCAGCACATCCATGTTTAGGAGCTTTTCACTGCTGGGTGACTTGATGGGTTTGAATTAGATCAGTCATGACCACTCCATCTCATGACCCCCTTGTTCAAGTACAATTTTTGATACAGATGGGTGTCCACCATCACAACCTAAGTCTTTGTATGATAACAGAGGGGCCATGGACACTGAACTGCTTTCCCAGCTTGCCTTTCAAGGAGTCTGTGGCAGTCATGCAGGGAAGCTGAAACTTCTCTGTTCATACAGTGACTTTTGGGGCCAGAGTGTGTGGGTTCCTGCTGTATCTGCAGTCTGGCATTCTTCACCCGCACTGAATCCACTTCTAGAAACAAAACCCCAGATTGCAGCTTCAGTGGCGAACGGTTTGTATGTGTTTGAGAGGCATCTGTCTCATCATCCTTCTCAGTCTGACAGTGTTACTGAGAGATTAAATAAGGATCATCTGTATAGAAACCTAGCCTTTGAGTAGGCAGCTTAGCTATAGAACACTTAAAATCCAAACGCAAACTGGGAACCAATGGTTGCATCCCCAGTTGCTTCCTGAGATACTGCAGTCATCCATGTGGAAGTGATTGTAGTAGCCCTGGACTCTGGATATGAGCAAGACATGCTGCGTCATGGGGACAGAGTATGGTTGTCTGCAGCTGCCTTGACTGGCAGGTTTAATGAGACCTCTTGTAACCCAAGCATATTTACACTATGCTTTCAGTGAGCTAAATGCTTTTAAATTGGCCCCAGAAGAGGTTTCTTTGCTGTATATTGGGGGCTTGAAGGGCAATAGGATAATGTGCTGACGCTGAAAAGTACCCTTTGCAAACAAAAAGGAGAAAAATTGTATACTGTTTTGCAAGAGACCTGAAATGCTTCTTTCTGGTTTTTGGTACAGTTGCTCTGACAAACCTTGAAGATACTGAGAATGCAAAGCGATCCTATGAGCAAGCCGTAGCATTGGACCAGTAAGTCTTAATTGTGCCTGTCTCTGTTGGTTAAACAAGCTGCCTTCCCTCTCATACTTTGGGTCCCTTCTTATACTTTGTTCCTTTGTAAAATCCTTTTGTTCCTTTGTAAAACCTTTGGGACAAGAAAGCATGCTTTCATTATTAGAGCCAAGCAAATAACTTGTGGTATTTCTAAGAAATCAGAGGAAGGTTTTATTTGAAGCAACCCCAAACTGAAATACTTTAGAATTCAGTGGGCTAAAGAGAATGACTAGGTTCCAGTCCCTGCTCCACTGTATTGATGTAGCCAGTTTGAAAGAGCTTCAGCAAGAGAAACTTGGGGAGAACCACCTCCAGAGAGCCAATAGCTGTCAGACTGGGGCTCTCTCTTAGGGAAGCAGAGGTCTGGATACAAGTTCTTACTCTGAATTGGGCAGCACAGGGAACTTGAACTCGTGTCTCTAATATCTGAGAATCTAACCAAGTGGGTTCTTGTGTAGGAGGCGAATGGCAGCAAAGCTGCCTCTTCCACCATTTTGTGAACAATGCCTGCGATTCCCTCTGTGAATTCCCCAGTCCCCAACCTCAAAATTGAACATTTTGTTTTAGAAATGCCAGAATGAGCTGTTCCAGTGTTTCTGGGTTTTACTTTTCTTTTTCCTGTTATATTTTTGGCCAGATCATTCACCAATTTCATTTTGAACCTGTGAGTAGTTTTGGCCTCTCAAAAATGCATTTTTCAGCAAATTTGATGAAAACCTTGCACCCGTGTCTCCTCGCAAATACATCAAGCATCTGCCACAATGGAGTAGTGGTCCTGATTGGGCATTCTGTTAATATGGACAATCAGGCTGTGAAAAGTTATCACAGGAGGTTAACATTTCATCTGCAAAAGCCACAAGGTGGCACTATAAAGCTCCAGTCAAGTTTCAGCTGTCAAGAGCTGGGTGGCAGGAATGAGATGGTTTTCCTTGCTTATGGTCATAGGTATTTTTGAAAGTTGTGTACCCTGTAAAAAGGGACACAAGTTTTTCAGATACAACATAGGATATTTTACTGCTGTTTTCCTCTGCTACGTGAACCCTGTAAGTGTCCCCTTGTTACTCTATAAGTTATCATGGATAGCTGTCACTGCTTGCTTGAACAGAAAAGCTTTTTAAATCAGTTAACCCAACCTAGTTTTAGGAAAGGCAGTTGGAGTCATTTCAGCCAAATTCTTAACTAAGTTCAATTTATATGGGAAGGTGCTGCCTCATTTGCCACTACAGACAATCTCCTTGAAGCAACCAGGCCTGCCAAATCTGTTCCCTGTTGTAGTGTGCAAGGGGAAAAGGTCTCAGGCTGACTCTGGAGCCCACAAATTTGCAGGCAGAAACCTTGCCAACAGAGCATGCTAACAAGAGGTTCGTCTAGAGACAAGGCACACAGAATCCCCCATGTTATATTTACTGAATCCCTTTTCAGGGTGGAAGTGCACATTCACCAATAATATGTCAGAGGTGACTCATAAACACTATACTGCATTGTTACAGCAAGAGAACACACTGCATTTATAAAACAAGCATCCACCAAAGTCATTGCTTGCAAGTCCAGCTGCATTGTCTCTCCTCACTTTCAGAATCCAAGCACTCCGGGCATTTATACATGTACTCTGGGAGTGGGGGTGGGGAGGAGGGGCACCTTAATTAAAGCAGCCCCAAGAGCTGCTTTAATTAAAGTGCTCAGAGCATCTCGTGTATCAGCATCCCTATGCTTAAAAATGGCAGCAGGGGTGCTTTAACTAAAGCTCGTTCAATGAGCTTTAGTTTAAAGTGCCCCTGCCACAATTTTTAAGTGCAGGACGCTGATAAACAAGACTCTGGAGTCTGCTGGAGCGCAGTAATTACCGTGCTCTAGCAGACTTAATTAATCGAGTCTGCTCCAATGTGCTGCAATTATACCACATTGGAGAATCCTCGCTGCTCTTGTATAGGGGCCCTCTATGTTTGGTTGGGGAGGCATA